GACTGTAAAACTCCTGAGCTCTTACTTCCTGATTGGGATGGGGGAGGTGGAAGAGGGTATTGAGGGGATAAATGGTGATGGGAAAAAATAAAATAATAATAAAATAAATAATAAAATAAAATGCTTTGTAGCTCTCCATTTTACTTCATTGCAAACATGACACTGCCAGATTTGGCAAACAATAGTGGATTCAGGGATAGGTCACAGAAGTCAATGAATAATAACAACCTACCCAGAATTTACCACCTACAGACACTATTCTTCAATGTATTACAAATAAATAATTTAATTTTCATATCACTTCTGAGTTGGGCTGTCAGTACCACCACCACCATTTTATGGAAGAGGGCACTAAGGTGCAAAGTCGAAGAGCTAGTAAATGGCTAAAGTGAAATCCCACCCAGTCTCCAATGTCCTTGTACTTAACCTCAAATTAACCACTTAACCACTCCATTGCCTCCAAAACTGGCACCACCCTCTTTACTATGGCATATCTTACATTCACCAAGATTTTATTCATAGTACGTTTCCTGTAACCAATATGCTTGTCACAAAAAATGCATGAAAAAAATATGTTTTCATTCATTTTTAATTCGGCAAGTTAATCACCATTTGACCTTTCTAGAACTCACTTTCAGCATGGATTAGTTAACACTTCAAAGTTTGAATTTTCTAGTTCTAAGTGCAACACAGCAATTTAACCTCACATTTAGTTCATTCTAATTCAGAGTTGACAAGCGAGCCTGTTTGTGTTTAATGCAAGCTTCAGACTACTCACAATGGACGATGGGTTGTGAGCGATGCTCTCCCAATTTCTTCTCCATGATAAATAGCAACCCATCCTGCATCTGCTTACAGTCAGGTTAGATGCATGTCCTGTGGTCAATGAGGAAGGCTGATCACACATTCCATTTTATAACAGGAATGCTGCTGTGTAGTTTCATCAAAATCTCCCATCCAGTGGCAGCATGCTCTTCATGAACTGGTGAAACCTACATATTCATGACACGCAGCTTACTTAAATTCTCTCCTCTTAAGTCTTCAGGATTTAAAAAGCCTATCAGTGGTGATGACTTCCTTAATCTTTTAATTTGACAAACACAAACCCTTGAACTGTAAATATTAAAAACTGAACGTGTAAACACAGAGCAGAGAGACATCTGGAAGCCCATCGACAACACACACACACAACACCGTGGCCGTGAAAAGCACAAGTCAGCAAAGAGAGAAAAAGTAAATAAAGGAGATGATGCTGGACCAGAAACAGGATCAGGTTCCTGACTTAACTCATCTGTAATTACCAGCCAGCCCTGTCTCTAGAGAAGAAAGCTTAGCAGAACATGTCTGGAGAAGACATGTATTTCCTAACAAGGTCTCAAACATTTGCTTACACAGCACTTGTGTGCAAAGAAAAATGTAACTTTCTTCCTTGCTTTTTTATTTCTTGCTTTATTTCTCTCTTTCTTGCTCCAGTCTGATCTTCTCCCATGCCTCCATTTTGGTGGATGAAGGTGCCAATGTGTAACCTCAATCCTGTCATTATTACTCCCTCCATAAGTAACTATCTCTTTTAAATATGTGCTCAGGCCCTGACCAGTTTGGCTCAGTGAATAGAGCGTCGGCCTGAGGACTCAAGGGTCCCAGGTTCAATTCCAGTCAAGGGCATGTACCTTGGTTGCGGGCACATCCCCAGTGGGGAGTGTGCAGGAGGCAGCTGATCGATGTTTCTCTCTCATCGGTGTTTCTAACTCACTATCCCTCTCCCTTCCTCTCTGTAAAAAAATCAATAAAATATATATATATATAAAATATGTGCTCAGTAATTCAAATGCCTTTCCTTCTTCCGGCTCTTCTCCATGATAATGTTTAGTATTATGGGGGTGTGGGGTGGAGGGGGATGCTGAGAAAGGGCTAGATCCTCAGACAGGTCCTAATGCTGTCCTCTGGTTCTTCCAGTCTCTGCAGCATCACCTCACCTACCTTGTTGTTACCTGCAGCTAAAGCTTTTGACTGGAGATTGTGGACTCTATTCCTCTCCATGCAGTTAGGGGCTCCGCAGGGCCTGGTAGTTCTCCCTGCTGCCTGGGCCCCCACCTTGGCCCTCATAACACTGGGCTCCTGAGGTCTGATTGTAAGAGCTTCTCCATTTTTTTCCCTCAGTTCCAGGCCCAGGTTGCCCTTAAGGTAGCAAGCCTCCCAGCGAGCCTGCCAGCTACCACTCACCCCCCACCCCCTCAGGTCAGAGGGGAGCTTTGACAGCCTCTGTGGCCCCTGATTGCCAAAGAAACCCAGGGAGCCAAATCCAGTCCCTCCCGTCTTGCCAAGCACATGGCACCAACACTTTTATTCCGAGTTGGCTTCCCCACACTGGGAACGTCTGAAAGCTGTTCTCCCAGTGTCTCAGACGGCAAGGACAGAAACACCTATCTTTGACCTCAACCTATGTATCATGCTGGCTCCATTCTGGGTAGTTGGCCTGAAAAACTTACTCAGAACAGACATCTCCCAGCCTGCTTCTCCCACCTTTGTCTTCCCCCCTCTCACTCTTTCTCAGACTGGCAGTCTTTTCACCTTTTCTGCATAATAACCTGGGTTGTCCCCACTGCTTTGAGATGCACATGTGATCAATTGCTTTTTGATTCTACCGTTTCTTTCCTGGGAACAAGCCTCAGGGTTCAGCCTGGGAGTTGTAAAGTGTCAAGAAAGCATAATTTTAAAAGAGGAAAAAATTAAAGAGAGTTCAAGATTTGCAAAGCGTCATCCCCTATTATATTTAATTGGGTTTACATGTTCTTCACTGATAAGTCTGAATTGGGTTTGGTCCTGAAACACTAGTTTCTTTTTGTCAAAGTCTGAAGTTCCAGAAGCCAAATACACCTCAACCAAGTGAAATGAACTGACCAAAGGCCAATGAAAGGATAGATAGTCAGAGTTAGTGTCCACGAGATTTAGGCAAAGCAGTGGAAAATTTTATAGGTGGGATTGGTGCCAGATAGTTTATAGATGCCCGTGCAAGGAGTGGAAGCTGTATGAGGGAGTTACCTTTGGGAGAGGAGTTTATTCATGGACAGGGAATTCAGAAATAGTGTGATAGGCCAGCGGGAAGATGCTAATCTGGAGAAAAATGGAGCAAAGAGCTGGATGTCTCAATAAAGCCAAAGAACAGGGAAACGGAGAGCGTGAGAGTGAGGTAATCCTGCATGGCCGACATGTAGACCTTGTACATTGTTTATAAACATCTAGCTCAGGACAGCCTATGAAAGGAATCCCATTAGATACCTCAAGCTCTGCACAAAAAGGAGAAAGGGCAAGAAAGGGTGGTGAGAGTAGATAACTTTTCTGTAGGTAGGACTGTTTCTGGAGAAGGAAGGCAGTCCTGGGAAAACTAGCTCTAAATCTGTTACCTCCACAACCTACCCCTGCTTTACCGGTCTTCGTTTGTGTTAATGTTTGAAAATTTACTCCGCAAACTTTAAAAAGTACTGATGCAAGAGCCCGTTCCAGCTTAATTATTACAATCAGGTGGAGGTGGGCAGGCATCAATGTTTTTTTCATCAATATTTTCCCCCTAGTCATTCTATTATGCAAGCAGTGTTTTTTTAAATTTTTAAAAATACTGACCCACGGATATGTTTGTTGATTTTTATTTTTTATTTTTTTCCATACTTTTATTCAGTTTGGGATACCTGTTTATTGATTTTTAGAGAGAGGAAGGGAGAGAGAGAGAAACATCAATGTGAGAGAGAAATAAATATCAATCGGTTGCCTCTCACACATGCCCCAACAGGGGACCAAACCTGCAATCCAGATATGTGCTCCGACCAGGAATTGAACCCATGACCTTTCAGTGAGCCAAGCTGGCTAGGGCTTAACCCGTGACCTTTCAGTGTACTGGAAAACACTCCAACCTACTGAGCCACACAGGTCAGGGTGCAACCAGTGTTTTAAGAGCAGCTATGATGTCCACCTTTTCAGGTACTTCCAAAACACCTTACCCTTCCCGAAAGTCCTGGAGGACATGCAAAAGGGAGTGGGGTTGAGGGGCATCGTTTATGAGGGGTTGGAGCAAATTGTTCCATCTCAGAATCTTTCATGCTGACATAGTTGATCATGTGTTTCTGGACCATAGTCTCCTAGGGCAGTGGTTCTCAACATTGGCTGCACATTAGAATCACCTGGGAATCTTTTTAAAATCCTGATTTCTGGGCCTCATCCTCCAGAAATTCTGTTATTTTGTTATGGGGTGGGGCCACAACATTAGTAACAAAGAAAGAATTTCCGGAGGATGATGCCCAGGAATCAGGATTTTAAAAAGATTCCCAGGTGATTCTAATGTGCAGCCAAGGTTGAGAACCACTGGCCTAGGCCCTAGGGCCATGGTCAGCAAACCTCGGCTCGCGAGCCACATGCGGCTCTTTGGCCCCTTGAGTTTGAGTCTTCCACAAAATACCGCCACACTCAAGGGGCCAAAGAGCTGCATGTGCCTCGAGAGCTGCAGTTTGCCGAGCCGCCGTTTGCTGACCACTGCCCTAGGGGATAATGTAAATGCCTTAGAGAGTTCACCTGAATTCTTCAAAGTGATGCACTACACCTGTAAAGAAAGCGGGTTGTAAGTGCATCTGACACTTTGCCTTTCCCTGTGTGCAATAGCCCACACAGCTCGTTTGACATTGAGACTTCTCTGTGCGGCCTCCCTTTCCAGCCAGCCCAGTTCTCTTACTAATTCTGAGTTTATGCCTCTATGGAAATCATTAACAGGCCTTTCTTTCCCAAATTACACGCTCTCTTTTCCTCAGAATCTCTGAAGATGAGCAACGCTTGGTTGGTTGGTTTTGTTGTGGTTTTAACACCGCTGCTAATCTCAGCCAATTGAGCATTGCCTGAATATACTTGTCAATACGAGAAAACAGCAGGCCAAGAATTATGAAATGTCTCTCCTTTGACTGGACTTTGCACCCAGGAAAGGAATTCAACAAAAAAATCTGATAAAAAAACAAACAAACAATTGTTCCCGGTACTCTCACCCTCTGCTAATAAGTGCCTCCGTGGACCCAGCTGGCCACTGCACTCAGAGCTGCCCAAGCAGAGCAGATGGCGGGGGGCCGGGGCTTCACCTTAGCGATATGCATATCTGTGCTCGAAATCAGTGTCCTGACAGCCGGGCCCACTCCCAGGTGAGTCGCTCTTCTATTTTCTCTGCATTTTCACTGTGGGCTTGGATACTTCAAGGTCTGCTTCTTAGCAAAGCAGGTAAAAAATGTTAACCCACCTTGAGATATGTAGCCCCAGAATTTAAACGTTGAAAAAGGGTAAGAACAGGCATGGGTGTGTCTTTGAGAGTTTTCTGAGGAAACTTGCTGCTGTTTCTTGAGATTTCTTTGGGGGGGGGGGAAGGCATTCGATGCTAAGTCTGATAGTCTTTAAGTGCTTGGAATTCTAAAACAAAGCTGATTTTCACTCGAGTAGATAAACCTGGGTTTATCAGTGTCTAACGCAGAGGTCCTCAAACTTTTTAAACAGGGGCCAGTTCACTGTCCCTCAGACATTCCACACATGCGCACTGCGGGCCCGGGACGCGTCGGCTGCTAAGCAGGACAGGCAGCGGCGGCAAAAACACCCGGCGGGCCGGATAAATGTTTTTGGAGGGCCGCATGTGGCCCGCGGGCTGTAGTTTGAGGACCCCTGGTCTAACGTCTGAGAAGTTTAAAGCTAAGGAAGTTAATCTTCCCCACGCTCTGCCTCAATGTCTAACACCGAACCTGTCGAAGCCATCGCCCACCGGCCCCCACATTAGGCAAATGAACCATTTGTGCTTCTCGTCCCTAACATCCCAAGCTGCGTGGCCGTGCTCTCAGCAAAGAAAGGTACTTTCTCTCCTTTTGCTCTGATCCTCACCGGCAACTCAAAGCCCATGCCAAGACGGTCGGGGAACCAAACCAACCAGACAATACAGAACATCTACACCATACCCAGCATTGCTGAAGGACAGGCCTGTGTGACCCCCTCCAACAAGCTCTGATGACAGTGCTGAAATACTGTGAGCTGTCACAGGGTAGCTGGGGGAAATATCTTCCCAAACACTGTCCCTCTGCCCAGACATGACTGATCTGCGTTCAGTGCTTCTTTGGTCATTTGACTCGTGGTTTAGCTGAATTCTGTTTGGACTCTGATGTCCACCTCAAGCATTTCTTTGCCTGCCTGGCGGCTGCAGTGGAGGCTGCCTTTCTGCCTGGACCCCCTTGGCACGTGGTTTGCCCCAGGAGGGGGCACACGGAGGTGCTACCCAGACCTGCAAGGGCTTGAGTCCAGTGCTCCACCAGGCTTTCCTTCATCCCACCTCCTCCTCTTCCCGTGGTCTCTGAGAAGCCTTGTCCCACTTAGATAATATGTTCATTTCCTGGGCATCAGGTACCAAGGGGAGTTGGAGAGTCAGCTCCTGAGCGTTGCTTTAGCCCTCTGGTACTTACCCTGACCCTTTCTTAAATTAAAAAAATAATAATAGTAATTTAACAACCCACATTCCTGGATCGTGACTCCTGCTGATTAAAAATGAGAGACTGTGGGGAAGGCTTCAACTGCTTTGAAGTTCATACCCCCTGGGTCCTGGCCACGCTCAGCTGTTTCAGGGAGGACAGGGAGCCCCCTTGGCTGGCCCCCAGCTCCAAGCAGCTGCGCTGCTCAGTGGACTTGGCTGCGTGCGTTCCCACCGCCATGCCCTCGTGAGTTTGTTAGGGTCGCCCTGCTCTGCCCTTGGGAACAGGGTTGAGGTCAAAACAGAGTGTTCAGTTCAGTCCTGAAGTGAGACACATAGTTCAGCCAGAGAATAAAGAATTTTTAAAAGTATGAATTTGATTAGAATGGAGCCCTAGACTTCCCAAGCTCAGTTCAAGGAGCCATGACTTACAAACTGACCCTGTAAGCTATTCAAACGCTCTGTACCTTCGTTCCCTATCTGTGACATGGTGGTTGTATTCATTTCTTAGTATCACAAACTGGGTGCTTTAAACCACAGAAATGTATTGCCTCGCCATTCTGGAGGAGAGAAGTCTGAACTCGAGCTGTGGGCAGGGCCAGACTCCCTCAGAGACTCTGGGGAGGATCTTCCTCAGTGGTGGCCAGCAATCCTTGGCATCCCTTAGCTTGAAGCTACATCATTCCAATCTCTCTCTGTCATCACATGGCCACCTTATGTCATCTTCCCTCTGTGCAAGTCTGTCTGGTTCTAAATTTCCTCTTTTGATAAGGACACCAGTCATATTGGGTTAGGGTCTACCCTAATGATTTCATTTTAACTTGACTTTTCTCTGTAAAGACCCTCTTTCCAAGAAAGGTCACACTCTGAGGTACAGGAGTTAGAATTTCAAAATTTAGCTCTTAACCTAATAAGGTTTCTAGTGAAGGTTCAATATTATAAATGTAATGAACTTACATCTAAGCCTGTCAGTGCTAAGAACTTGATACATGTGAAATATCCTTTAAAATAATAACACTGCCATTACTTTCACTCTGTTATGCTTTCTGGTTTAGGAGAGGAAGGGATGGAGTTATAGCTAGCATGCAGGGGACATCATGTGACTGCAGACATTTCATCTTAAGCCACAGCTACTGCAAGCTATTGCTGTGGGAGATTTGCAATGATCTTTTTTTTTTTTTTTTTTTTGGAAACGTGAGTGTGTCCTTGAGAAAAGGTCATGAGGGGGATGGGATATCATCTTGTATGTTTCTCAAGGTAGCAGTGTTGAAAACCACTGTGCTAATACAATAACAGCTCATAACATAGATCCTGGAGCTAGGTGGCCTGCGTTTGATTCCAGGGTCTACCGTTTACTAGCTATGTGACCCTAGGCAAATGCCTTAACTTCTCTAACTTTGTTCTTCACCTGAAAAGTGGGAACAAAAATATGACCTGCTGGGAGAAATCCCTGATAAAGACCGCAGTGTGCTTAGCCCCATGACAGGCAGGTGGCGAGTGTGTGATGAACGTAGCTATCATTATCTTTACTTTTTAATTTGTAAGTAACAAAATATTTATACAAGTCAAAGATCAAAAACAATAATGAGGTATACATTAAGAAGTCTCGATTTCCCTACTCATAACTTTTCATGCGATCTGTGTGACTTTGTGAAAAGTACTTAGAACACTCCCGGCATCCACCTCACTCTTTCCCTGTAGGTTACCACCATTATTAGTTTATAATCTTACTCTCAACCTTTCTTTGTTAAAGATATACTATCTCGTACTTAGCTTTTTTCTTTGTACTTTATGATATGTTCTGGAGACCTTTCTGTATTGGTATAGAAGGAACTTCCTCATTCTCCTCACACCTGATTAATTTTCCATTGTGTGGCTATACCATTGAGATAACCCGTCTTTTATTGAATATTTGGGTTGCTTCCAATCTTTTGTGCTATAAACAGTGTTGCAATGAATAGCCTTATTCACATACCATTTTGCAAGCAGATTATTGTACCTGAGGGCTAATTCCCAGAAGCGATATAACTGGGTCAAAAGGTAATCAATTGCTGAAATTGCCTTATGGCCTGGTGAGGTTTGTATTATTTTGCACTTTCGCTAGTAGTGTATGATAACACAAATAAGTGGAAGGATATTTACTATGCTCATGGATTAGAAGGATTGATGTTGTTTTTTTCTTTATTTTTTTTATTGATTAAGTTATTACATATGTGTCCTTATCCCCACGTTACCCCCTAACCCCCTACTCATGCCCTCACCCCGCTGTTGTCTGTGTCCAGGATTGATATTGTTAAAATGTCCTTACTACCTAAAGTAATATAAACATGTGATGCAACCTCTACTAAAATACCAACGGTATTCTTCTCAGAATTAGAACAACTAATCTTAACATTTATGTGAAACCACAAAAGACCCGAATAGCTAAAGTGGCCTGGAGAAAGAATAAAGTGTGAGTTATCACGCTCCCTGATATGACACTATACTACAGAGCTGCAATAATGAAAGATGCTGGCATAAAGCCAAATATAGAGATGAATACAATAGGATAGAGAGCCCAGAAATAAATCCTTGCTTAAATCCAGGCAAGAAGGAGGTTGTCCAGTTGATGTGCTTTCCCTGGATGCTACACTGAAAAAAATGTATCCTTATTCATGCAAATGTCCTCATTATCTATCACAAAATGTCTAAAACTCGTGAGACTATTACATCTGGAAATTATTGAGTAAACTGTGACTTTTTAGTTTATTTCAAAGAGGATTTGAGTGAGTTGGGGGAAACAGCAGCATAGGGGACAGGGTAAAATTGCAGCGAACTACGAGTGCAGAGGTGAAGATTCTAGATCTAGTTCTGCTACTAACTGCCCAACTTTGGATAAGTAGTACAGTTTTCTGGCTTTAGGTTCCCATCTGTAAAACAGAACTAATACCCTCAAGGGCATAAAGGTTTAATGAGAAAACGAGCTTTGAAAATTGTCCAGTAAAACTAGAAAACTAGACAAATATAAGAAATTGTTTTATCAAAAAATATTTATTGAGTGTTATGGGCTGAATTGTGCCTCATCCCCCCCCCCCAAAAAAAAATTGTGTTGAACTCCGAATCCATAGTACCTCAGAATGTGACTGTGTTTGGAGATAGGGCCTTTCAAGTGGTTATTAAGTTAAAGTGAGGTCATTAGGATGGGCTCTAATCCAATGTGACAGGTGTCCCTATAAGAAGAGTGAATCTGAACACAGACACATACAGAGGAAAGACCAGGTGAAGACCTTGGGGAGATGTTAAAACAAAATGATAATATGATCATCTAAGTAAGTGATGAATACAAAAAAAAAATAGACAGGAACAGATAATCCAGTTGAAGGCAGCAATACTAGTACTAGAAAAACTAGAAGATATTTAAAAAATCTATAGAGACATTAATAGGTAGAGCCTAGAGTAATTCCTGAAACCAATCATAGACCAGCTCAGTGACATTTTCAGGTTAACTATGGCTTCAAGCTTGGGTTCTTTTGATATAATGAACACCTCCATCCCCCTTGAATAACACCCTTTCAGATTTCATGGATATCCACCAGATGTTTCCAACTAGTGTTTCTCAACTTTGCATGAACATGGGAATCACCTGGCATACCCTTTTGAAAACATTGATGCCTAAAGAAAGCCCATCCTCAGTAAGTCTGATTTAATTGATTTGGAGTAAGGATCACAAATTTACAATCCCTATGTTTAATATCTGAGGTATATAATGTGCAATTGATATTGAAAACCAATGCTATAGAACAGTGATGGCAAACCTTTTGAGCTCGGTGTGTCAGCATTTTGAAAAACCCTAACTTAACTCTGGTGCTGTGTCACATATAGAAATTTTTTGATATTTGCAACCATATTAAAACAGAGATTTATATTTTTGATATTTATTTTATATATTTAAATGCCATTTAACAAAGAAAAATCAACCAAAAAAATGAGTTCGCGTGTCACCTCTGACACGCGTGTCATAGGTTCGCCATCACTGCATAGTTCATAAAGGGGAATCTGCCATTGTCCCTTGATGAGGTTTGTCAGTTCCAGCTGCCACCTGAGTTTTATGGAAAAGTTCTAGCAAAGAATTTCAGATATGTGATTTCAGATAAACACAAATACTCAGACTTCTAGGAAAGCAAGTACTTCAAGGAGTTTTGACAGCCTGCGTCATACAATTTAATCTGCACTTTTGAAAGGTTGAAGTTCTTCAGGCCTCCTGGTTTTCTGGATAATGTAGGCAGGAGTCAGGCTTATAAAAATTGTCTCCAGTCATGAAGCCAACATTAATGAGAAGGCATTCTCCCACAAATACAACATGGGTGACTCACCAGGAGATCATAACAAATATAGGCCAACTGTCCAAGACAAAATGATCAAGGACTTCCCGTTCTGCACTTATTTATTTATTTGTTAAAAAAAATATTTACTTAGCACCTACTGTGTTCTAGGCACTTGATATATACAAGCTGAACAAAATTTAAAATTTCCTTAACTCACTGATATTTTTATCTAGAACATGAACTCTGTTAGTTTGGGGATCATGGTTTTTGTTTTATTTTGTTTTTCTGTTTTACACACAATATTTCTTTGATGTCTAGCAAATTACAGATGATTAATACTTGATGAATCAATAAATGAATGGACAACTCAGTAAAAAAGTTAATTAAATAAGTGAAATATATCATTGCAAAGGTGCTTATGATATAGGGAAAAACCAGGTGCTATAAAAATATGTGCTCAGAAAATTAGATCACTCAGGAGATTTAAAAAGTTTTTTAGGAAAAAAAAAATATGTTCAAGATGATGTCAGTATGGTGAGTGGGAAATAATAGGTTTAGAGTCCTGAAAGCATGAAAAAAAGTAATTTATCTTGGAAATTTCAAGTTTAATATGGCTGGAACTTCAATGAAGAAAAAATGAAGTTGAAGAAGTAAGGAGATAGTCATGTACAGTTCTCTAGACCATGTGTCTTAGTTTCCTATTGCAGCTGTAACAAATTACTACAAATTAGTGGCTTAAGAAAACATAAACGTATTATCTTACAGTTCTGCAGATCAGAAGTCTGAAGTGGGTCTCACTGGGCTAAAATCAAGACACAGCGGCGCTATGTTTCCTTCTGGAGGCTCTAGGGGAGAATTCATTCTCTTGCCTCTTCCAGATCCTAGAAACTGCCTCTGTTTCTTGGCTCATGGCCCCTATCCATCCTCAGAGCCAGCGACAGCTGGTGAAGACCCTTTCCATGCTTTGAATTTCGCCTGCCTCCTCTTCTGTCTTCACATCTCTCTCAACCAGTCTTCTGCTCTTGAGCTCACGTGATTGGAATGGGCCCACCCAAATAATACAGAATAATCTAATTTTAATCACATCTGCAAAGTCCCTCTTCCATGTAAAGTAACATACAGTATTCACAGATTCTGGGGATTAGGACATGGACATCTTTGGGATCATTAACCTGCCTATCACACCATGTTGGAAAATTTGAACTTTATCTTAAAAGTAAAGGGAAGTTACTAAAAGGTTTTCAGTAGGGAAATGGTGAGATCAACTTTGCATTTTTTAAAAATCCCTCTGGATGATTTATGGATACTGGATTAGAAAGAAACTATTGTCACCTGGGAGAATGTAATGTTAGTGTAGACCAGAGAAATGTCTACACTAGATGGAGTTGAGGGATTGATAGATTTGACAATTACTTAGGAGACTGTACTAGTAAACAGCAGGCTTCCATGGTTGGTTAGATATGGGAGATGAGCATGGGGGATGCCGAGAAAGACAAGCAACACCCAAGTCTCTAGTTAGGGTGACTTCTTAAGTGGAAGTGCTGTTTACCAAAATAACAAATGCTGGGGGAGGAACAGCTTTGAGACAAGAGGAAAAATAAAGAATTTGTTTTGGGATGTATTGAGTTCTATGAGCCACAAAGACATTTAAGTGCAGATGTCCAATTGAGAATTATATCCAAGCATTTAAAATTCAGAAAAGATGTGTAGACTGCAGACTTATCTCTGGTAGTCATTAGCATACACATGGAAATCAAAGCCCTGGAAAATGTGTAGAGAGGGGAAAAAATCCAAAGACAGGACCTTGAAGAAAAACAGCATTTCAGAGACTACCAAAGGAGGAAGAGTCTGCATAGGAGAGTTGGAGAACAGGGCAGAGGAGAAAGAAGAAATGAAAGGAGTCTCGTATCATTCAGTCCAAGGGAAGGGAGTGTCTTAAACACCAAAAGTGGTCAACTGTCTTGATCTCTGGGAAGAAGTCAACAAGATAAAGACTGAAAGGAACCAAGTGAGCAACCTGGAAGTCATTGTTGACCTTGGCAAGAGTAGTGTCATTGAAGCGGGAGGGTTGAGCAGTGATTGGGAAAGAAGGAACAAGAGACCAGGGTGCAAACTACTTTTTCAAGAAAGTTGACTAAGAAGATTAGAGAATTTGAGAGGTAGCTAAAGGGTCATATAGGATTGAAGGAGGAGATGAGACTTTTTTGTTGTTGTTGAGAGAGAAACATAAATGCGTTTATAGAAATTTCTTTTTTTTTTAAAGAGAATCCTTTTATTTTTTATTTTTTTAATGTATTTTATTGATTTTTTACAGAGAGGAAGGGAGAGGGATAGAGAGTCAGAAACATCGATGAGAGAGAAACATCGATCAACTGCCTCCTGCACACTCCCTACTGAGGATGTGCCTGCAACCACGGTACATGCCCTTGACCAGAATCGAACCTGAGACCCTTCAGTCCGCAGGCCAATGCTCTATCCACTGAGCCAAACCGGTCAGGGCTATAGAAAATTTTTTAAGGGTCACTGTGAAGGGAGATGGGGGTTGCTGAAAGGAAATGTAGAGTTCAGAGTGTTCCATTTGCTCATTCATCTGCTTGGACACAAATGAAAAAAGAGCTGGAAATGAGAGAGAGGTTTAAATGGAGGAGATATTCCATGGATCAAGGTCTCAAAGAGGAGCTGGGGTCTAGAGCTTGTGTAGAGGGATGAGTTTGACCTTGTCATGCCCCTGGAGTAAGAGGCTACACTATACAAGGAATAGGTATCAGCTGAGGAGCATGTAGGCAGAAAGTTGATAAGATTCTTATTTGGTGGCTTCTGTTTGCCCCCCCACCCACCCTTTTTTCTTCCTGTCGTGAATGAGACGTGATGTTACAACCAGAAGAGTTCCAAATGGTGAACCAGGAGACAGAGGAAAGTTCAAGGCCAGAAAAACACTGCTGAGCTTTGGGCCTGGGGGAGGAAGGGAAGTCTGTAAGTGCCAGAATAGATGATGTTAAAATGCAGAAAGATGAGGAATGAGTTCTGAAGGGGAATGTGAAGTGGCAAGGCTTCCAGTTTGGGAGATGCAGAATGCAGGGGTGGGAAAGCCTGGTTTATGAGGTGCTTGCTTACAGCGTGGCCCAGCCGGCTGGCTCAAACTTGCAGGAGACCCAGGCAACTCCAGGCTTTGCCAGACTGTCTGGGGGGTACAAAGTGAAACAAGGTATGTCCTTCAGTGGATTCATAAACTAGTTGGAAATATAAGGCTAATGGATGTAAGACTCCTAGCAGGATGCCTGACAAGTTTTGCTCCCATCATCCTCATTTTTGTTGTTGCTAGGTTGAAAGTTAAATTACAATTCAGTACAAAAATTAAACAAAAAATGTGAGTTGAAAATACAAAATGGTATGTGATCAAGTGATTGCATAATGAGAGACATAATAAAAGGCGAGCAGTATGATTTGGAAAGGGGAAATAGTCAATAAATTAAACTGCCTTGTGAAGACTTCTTGGAAACAGGCATGCGTAAGGGCCATAGGTTGACATGTTTGTTGTCTTAGTTCTTACCCAGAGCCAGGACAAAGCACCGGCACTCCATCGCCCATAGACTGCAGATTAAGCTCCTGGAGCGAATGGTCGCCATGTGACCCTTGCCTAAAACAAAAGGTAAGCCTCCAATGCTCTTCCCTGCTGACGTCCCCAGATGGGAGCTATATTGCCAGCATCTCAGGGGAAATGACTATAAGGCAGGGAGCTTCCAACCAAGTTGCAAACTGAGAAGAAAAGACAAACATGTAAATGCATGTGGGTCACCTTGCTGGGTGATCTGAATGCTGCATGCACACTGAATGAGTGTCATGAGGAACCATCTTTTGTAGCAGAGACTTCGGTCCTAGAATGTGTGATGTTCCTTTCAATAACGTTAGTGACTGCTTTTATGGCTCCCATCTGAAAATCATAGGCTCATGTGGGTTTGGAGGGCTGCAGTGGTATGGGTGCAACTTCAGATCATAATCCCGTTTTGGAATGAGAAATTTTAACGTTTCCAACTGGTTTTGTGCAGTTTCGTTCAAGGAGCGTTGTGGTCTTTGGACAATTTAATGGGCGAAGGTGCTTGGCCAGCCTGGGAGACCGACAACACTGTGTGCCCACTGAGGACTGTGAAGATGCGGAAGATGACTGTGGAAATGACTTTCAATGTGGTACAGGTAATCCTTGCGCTCTGGCTGCTCATGATGGGTTTCTGCTCGCACTCGTGGGTGAAAAGAAAGAAACACATGTTTAAGCGCTCGTATTTCCAAGTGTGAGAGGGGCGCCCAAACGGCCATCTATATATTCTGTGCATTCGGTAGTCAAATGTATGTGTGCCCTGCCCGCCAGCATGAAATTGCACCTGGGACCTTCGGAGGGAGAAATGTTGGCATCAGTGTCTCTCCTGATTCTCATTGCAGGCAGGTGCATAAAGAGGCGGCTTCTGTGCAATGGGGACAATGACTGCGGGGACTATTCCGATGAGGATGATTGTGAAAATGACCCCCGTAAACCCTGCCGTGACAAAGTGGTGGAAGAGTCCGAGATGGGGCGAACAGCTGGCTACGGGTCAGTACTCCACTTGAATGTTCTGGAAGAAGATGAGTGAAAATAACCTCCATCTCTCCTGCATGCTAAAGTGGTACAGGGCATTCATTGGCAGGAAGAATAGCCTGTGGGGCTCTATTCTGCTTGAATTATGTTTGAACTTGAAAGAGGATAGGTATTGAATAAGTATCTCAAGGACAGACTTCCTGACCTCAGCAGGTGTCTGTAGAAGGGACTAGGTTATCACAACATTTGATGATGACTTCTGAGTCCAGTAGAAAATAAAATACCTAATTTATGAACCTCTGGAAGACCATGGCAATGTTGAAATGACATGTTAGCATTTAAAATTGAATTGCCAGTAGTAGATCTGGGAATTCCATTCAAATGTTTGAATTACCAGGAAAACTATCTTCCATTGGGCCTTCTCCTGGATCTGAACCTGGTTAGAAATTCTCAGGAGGCTCCAGCATTCTGGAGTTGACCCAGGAGGAATAGGACAGAGAAAACCATTCTAATGACAACTGATGATGGTGTTGAGACTATGGTTCTCACTACAGAGCTGAAATTTCACTCACTTTCCATATAAAATATCTTGCTAGGTAAACTCTGATGAAAAGTCTTGGGCAGTTTAGGACCCAGAGTTATGCAGAATAAGGTAGATGTCATTTGCAGAGATCTGTGTTCTGGGAGTTGGGGAAATGATACCGGCCTGAGCTGCTATTCAGTTCTGTTCCTGCGTAGTCTCCATGCATTGTTCTGAGCAGTAAAGATACTCTGGGTGGCTTTGTTGTCAAATTATCCTCAACAGAGACATAGCTCCTCCCCATCCAGTAGTATATTGACAGAGATGGCACCTGGCTCTCTTTCATCCCCTGAAAGCAATGTGTCTCTTCATCCTCATAATCCCAGTGCCTGCTTTATAGTAGGTGCTTAACAAATACCGCTGGGTGGATACATAGCTGACTAAATTAACTAATGAAAATAAGTGCTTTCTAAAATATTATCAATTGGCATCAGGTAAGACAGAAACCGAGTCCCTAGCAAGACATTCAGTTTCAGGACTCCGGTCCTGGAAATGGAGATGGGGAGAGGAAAGAAGAAGGGGGCAATGGTAAGAGCAAGGTTAATAGCGGGACTAAGGTAGCGATTCTCAGCAAGTGGCAGTGTCTGAAGACCATTTCGATGGTCACCACTGTTGGGTGTTAGGATGGGGGCTTTCGGGAGTGATATCCAGTCGGTAGAGGCCCTACAATGCACAGGACAGCCAGGCCCCAAATGTCAGTAGTACTGAGGTTGAGAATCCCTACACTAAGAAACTGGATGGTTCCTGAGACTTCTGTAAAAATGGAGATGTCTTCTCTCTCTAAGTCGGAGGAAACTTCCACATCTTCAATCACAGAAGAGAAAAATTCCAGAATAATAAGTCAGGCACCAGATGAAGCATTTCATATCTCTTTTATTCACTTTATAAAGACTTGCCAAGCAAGCAGCATTCAAATATCACTCACAGAGCCTTTGGCCTTAAGCCTAAAGGTAGGAATTTTGAATCTAATGGATGGTCTAGGGTTCCAAACTCAGCAGGCCCTCTTAATAATTGGCGGAAATGGTATGGGAGTCAGCCAAAACCTCATAACCAGATCACTGCATGCTCCAGTGAGTTCTGACTCTTCCTGATGCTTTCCTCAGGGAAAGACTGGGAGTGGTGAAAGCCTAATATTACTTTATTTTGCTTTCCACGGGATCCAAGAAACAGTTTTCTCTCTAATCTAAGTAAAAAGGCTTGAAGCAGGGAATGACATATGTTATGTATTCTCACTTCATGCAAATTTACATCGTGTCTTATAGGAAAAGGCTACAGAAATCTTGGCCCATTTAGCTGAAAAACAATTATTTATAATTCTTTGGTTTTCTTTGTTCGGGGAAAAGATAATTTGTTATATTGCATTTGCCAAGGAGTTTCACATTGAGGTATCCCAGAGAGCTGGCTGGGGCTCCTTAAATACCTCATGCTTTACCACAGTCAGGGGTGATGACAGGGAACATAAACCTTTATTTTTCCACCATGCCACTTACCTTTTTCTTCTCCCCACATGGCCATTTCCACAACATCACCTCTCCTACTTCACTACAAAGCCCACAAGTTGACACCCTAACTTCAAACAAAACTAACGTTAGACAATGAAACTCAAGCATTATTTATTACCTAAATATTTGAATTAAGAATGTAAAAGAGTAGTATACATTAGTAATTCATATTAAGAAGAGGTTTCAAAATAACATTCTTTATTATATTTATAATATTCTTCCATATGATTAATATTACATATTTATTTACTATACATCTCCATTACTCTAACACAGGGCTATGGGACTATATTGATCTAGAGGTACTAGACATAAACATTCTAACCATAGCAACATGCTTATAAGCTGCTCCTACACCGTCCTGTCTCGAAAACCTCAACAAGTCTTATCAACAGTCATATCCAGTCAGATTATTTTACACATGAAAGTCATAAGTACTCATAATAATTAATTTATACTTTATTTTACATTTGAAGGATTTATTTATTTATTTAGACTCTCATTTAAATTCTTATGCCAGGAGAATTGACTTGCACAAATGTTTCAGCCTCTTGTCTTATAGGCATCTGAGATTCTCCAGAAATGTTTAGGGAAATCCCCAACCCATCTTGCATTCATTGGAAAATACATAAACCCAAACCAGCTGCAAATGATGTACAACATGCAAGGGATTACTTTTTCTGTGTGATCTAAGGATAACACCACTTCGGTGGAGGGAGTTTCTCTTCAGATCACCTGGAAGACTGGAGCTGCCCGTGGTTCTAGATGCAGGTGTGAAAACAGGCATCTCTAAGTGCTGCCAAAGAACACATGTCTTTTTATTTCCCAGGCAATGACATTCGATCCGTGAGAGGTTTTCATGTTTCTTGGCAGAAAGAAATTGGCTTATTCTAGACTAGACTGGCTGTCTCTGTAGTAGTGGAACCAAGTCAAAAGTTTTGAAACATTTCTTCCTTTAGCTGTGCTTTTGGACCATGGAGCAGCTTCATTGTAACTTTCCAGATGAATCCAGTCAACTTTCTGATCTGTAAATCGATAACCTTCAAACCGGGATTTGGGTACCATGGGGTACAAAAGGGTTTCCCAAGGGGGAGGGAGACTAGTACATTTTAAGATAATAGTTTCCTCAACTGTTACTTTTCATCAATCTAACTCTTGGTAAATTCTCAATTCTATATGTACATATTTGTCATAAAATTGATAAGCTTGATGACTCTGTGGCATTCCAGTTGTCAAGCCCGTTCTCCTTGCTCACCTCCCCTTTTACAATCATCAAACTCCCATCACCCATTTCACATTTTATAATGGGGTGGAAAAAACAACTCCAAACGTTAACACTCAATTGGACTCTATCTAGCACTTTGTAAGTCAAGTGGTCTCCAATTCTTTTTAGTAGCAACATTAAAAATATCCTAATCAATTATCAGATAATGGATTATAAAAATAATTTTTGATGAGAGAGTAGCATGTTATGAAAGAAAAGTCTTGGCCTAAAACTCAGAAGATCAAAGAACTGCCCTATGCAGTTTGGCTCAGTGTATGGAGTGTCAACCCATGGACTGAAGGGTCCTGAGTTCAATTTTGGTCCAAGGGCACATACCTCAGTTGCAGGATCAGTTCCCAGCCCTAGTCAGGGCTTGTGTGGGAGGCAACCAATCAATGTGTCTTTCACATCAATGGTTCTCTCTGTCCCTCCCCTCCCTTCCACTCACTCTAAAAGGAAAAAAAAAAAAAAAGAAGATTAAAGAACTGACTGACATTGCTATGGCAACCTTTCTACTATTCTCTACTTTTTTATGTCAGTCAAGTTTCTTGACATTTACCTCTATAAAAATAAAGTGGTAATAAAATTGATACTGAGCCTTGTCTGTTTTCTAGCAAAGCAATAAGTAATATTCATCCATGAAGTGAGAAATGGTTCATTTTAACTATATGGTCAGCCTTGAGTAAGATATTCCTGGATTAGTTTCTTAATTTGCCTTCCACTAACGTTGAGCTATACTGTTAATTTTCTTTGTAGATTCAAAGCTTATTAAGAATGTGCTGTTTATATAAAGATGTTGTTTTTAACTAATCCACTTGCAGTAGGATAACCTTTTAATTATTATTATTTATTATTTTTGCATTAGCAATGGGTTTATAGTAAGCCATCCATACCCTTTGATAAAACGCTCTTGGAACCATTGTCTGAACTTGTAAGCCAGCTCATGGAAGTTGGGAATGTGGTCTAGAGAAATGGAAGAGTTTATGCTCTTGTGCCAAACTAAGTATAGATGTGAGGCTCAAACCCACTTGGGCCTCCTTGGCCCGGGACCATTTATTCCAGGTACAGCTTAGACAGCAATGACTGTTCCTCCAATTAACAAAGGTGAACTTCACAAAGAATGAACTGCTTCCTGTTCATTGTTTTTAGGTCTACAAATCAAACTTAACTTTTTAAAAGCTAAACAGGATTCCTATTTCTGAATTCTAGTTGTCTAAATGAAAATATTTTTCTGGGAGAAAAAAGTAGAACTTCTGAGAATGCCTTGCCAGGATGCTGAAATTTTGGGGTTCCTCTTGGAAACATAGAAATAATAATATAAACCTGGAGGTAATGAGGTTCTTGATAGGCAGTGAGACAACTGAAGGAAAAGGCTTAGGTTAAAAGAGAATGTGGAGTGGAAGAGCCCCAACAGTGATTCACAAGTTAAAAATTACATGTATATGTTATACTGCCCCCCTGAGGTGCTGTGTTCTCAAATAATTTAAATATGTGAATTACAGCATTGGCTCTTAGTTCACTAAGGGAGGTTAGCTAAGAGTTACAGCGATGAAGTTAAGACTCTAGGCTCCAGATTTATTGCATTTCTTTATTTAATATATTTTTATTGATTTCAGAGAGGAAGGGAGAGGGAGGGAGAGATAGAAACATCAATGATTAGAGAGAATCATGTATCGGCTGCCTCCTGCACACCCCACACTGGGGATCGAGTCCACAACCCAGGAACGTGCCCTGACTGTAAATCGAAGAACCATGACCTCCTGGTTCAGAGGTTGATGCTCAACCACTGAGCCACGCCAGCTGGGCTATTGCCTGCCTTTCATTGTGCTCTCCACAGTGTCCTAGTTGCCTAAAAGTCTACACGGCCTATGAGGTATGCTGTCTGCCAGAAACATAGAGCAGAGGTGAACGGGCTCTTGCTTCTGTTCCTGAATATATCCCACACATATTAGGTGATGAGGACATGAGCAGAAGCTCTCTCTTTCCCCCGCTACAGAAGGCTGCCTGGCACTAGCTTCTGGAATCTCCCTACCTGATGTTCCTGTGTTCATCCTCAGGATCAACATCTTAGGGATGGTTCCCCTAACCACGCCCTTCGACAATGAGTTCTACAATGGACTGTGTGACCGCGTTCGGGATGGAAACACCTTGACCTACTACCGTAAACCCTGGAATGTGGCTACTCTGGTCTATGAAGTAAGTCTCCCCAGAAGAAAACACATTGTTCCCCTCTTAGTTGAAAGCTGTTTCAATAAGTCTAATACTAAATAATGTGAAAAATTCAGTAGAATAAGAATTTAATGTAAATATAAGATTGGCTTAAAGAAGAGGATTTATATCTTGGATCTCTTTAGAAAATATACAGTAATCTATAATCAACCCTCAGTAACATGGGCCTGCCTAGTGATAAGAGTTTTGGCAAATACCTAGACTCCATAAAAAGAATCATCTAAGGTTCTGATAAAACTGAAAACTTAATTAGTGCTACTTTAACTGCTGAGTACACTGCTTTCATGCTATTTAAGGTTGGTTTTTGCTAGCCTATTAATGAAAACTTTTCGCTTGTTTTCCTTCACTATTCCCTTTTGTAAAGCCTGCTTGACTAATGTGAGTGGCTATTTTCACTTACCTCAAACCCCCCTGGCTCTTGTGAAACTATTTCTCAAAGTAATTTTTACTTTACAAAATGCCACTCCAAACTCACCGCCTCCCTGAATTCTTTTGAACCGTCTACAAATTGGACCCATTCAAAGGATTAATATTTACCACCTTTAGCTGTACCTTCTTTGTTCTAAGCAAGATCTAATAAAGAATATAATTAGCTTATTCTAAACCAGGAGCTAAAATCTGTTTCTTTCAATAGTCCCATTGGTGACAAAGTCCTTTTTTATTGTTGTCTCTCCTACCAGTTTGAGAAACATATATACTTTTTAAAAAGTGTAGTTAAGAGTTCTTTTATTTCTATCAATGTTAGAAATCAATCCCTACCCATTGTAGTCTAAAAGATCATGTTCTCCCATGAATGCTAAAAGTTGTAATGTCTGGACTATTTGGCATTTTTCTCACATGTGACCACATTGTCATACTTTTTGTTCCTGTAATTTCAGAAGAGAATCAGTTTCCCACAAATCTCAGGGAACATTTTGAATTATTCATCTTTCTCCATCTTGCCAGGTATACCCTCTTTAAAAGCACATTTTTTGGAAGGAAAAGTGATAATCTTTTTAGAAAGTATTATATGTTCTACTTTCTTAAAAACAATATACAAAGATAAGGTAACCTTTGTCATTGCTGATGGAAGAAGGGTTGTTGTTGTGTTTTATTTCATTTTATTTTGTTAGTTCTCAAGTATACATCATACACTTTTCTTGTCTTAGTTACTATAACCAAACTCTTAGCTTCCCTATAGAGGTAGTAACTGGTGAGGGCCGGAAAGTTGCCCGGAACAGATCTTAAAGCTACATTTGGAGAGTAAGCCCCCTGTTTTTCCTTATGTACAACCCTGGGCATAGATGTGCTTCCTCATTCAGAATGTTTTGAGTTTTACAAAGGAGATGTGGTCTTTCCATGTATATTACTTACACCCCCTCTCCCAGTAGAGTTAGGAGAGGCATTCTATAATCAAGCACATCAGTCTTTCCACAGAAGAACTAACCCATGTTCACACAAAGTGGGAGAAATAAAGACCATAAATAACTACTTATAAGCTCAGATCAGATTAATTCATCCAAATGAGTTTTGGCATCAAGGTTATAAAAAGCAGGTAGGGATTGTGGACCTGAATATTTATTTGGTGCCATCGGAGGAAGAGTGCTGATGGAATTGTTATAAGGCTTGCTAAAGTCCCCCATTCAAGGGTGCTACTACTGTTGGTGCCCCCCTTATTCTAATCGTTATGGTCTTAGAAAATACATAGCTGAGCTTGTTTGCAGTCAATAAATATTAGTTATATTGGATCTGCTTATTAAATTGAATAAATATTTATGAGCATCTACTATGTGCCAGTCAGTTTACTAACTAGTGACTCTATAGTAGCATTTGGATAAGACATACATGGTCCCTGACTCCCCCCTGGAGTTTACCATCTGAAGGCCTATTAAATAAGCAATTATAAAAGGGGAGGCGTTTTAATTTTGTTTTATTTTAAAAGAAGAGTCATGAAAGCTTATAGAAAATGGATTTGTTCATCTGTGGGGTCAGGAAAGTCCTCTCTGATGTTTAAGTTAAGATTTGAATTAGGTGTAAGAACTAAGCAGGGGAAGGGGTAAAATGGGCATATGTGTGAGAGAATGTGTATCAGTATGCAATGTTGGTGTTATGGGAAGATGGGCAGGTTGTATTAGAGAACATTCTAGAAAGTATAAAAGAGCCCTGTGGTGGGAAGACGTATAGGCTGTAGAAAGCTTGAGTACAGTAAAGAGAGATTAACTTGGAATAAGTCTAGTTCAGACTTGATCTTCCAGGCAGAGGGAAGACTGAAATATGTTAAGCAGGGAACTAACTTGGTTAGGTTACTCTTCCCCCTTCCACTGAATAATTTTCCCAGCATGCCTTGTTTTAAAGAAAATTACATGCATTTTTGTCTTTCTCCACTAGATGGTAACTTTAGGTTTCCTGTCTTTGTCTGTTCAGTCTCCTGTACCAAAGACAGAGTAACTTAGAAACAACAGAAATGTATTTCTCACAGTCCTGGAGGCTGGAAGTTTCAGATAAAAGTGCTAGCATGCTCACGTTAGGACCCTCTTCTGGGTCACAGATCTCTTGCTGTGTTTGCACATGATGGAAGGGGAGGGAGCTCTGTGGGGCTACTTTTATAAGAGCACTAATCCCACTCATGAAGGCACCTCTCTAAGGCCCCACCTCTTACTACCATTACATTGAGCATTAGGATTTTAACATATGGGTGGGGTGGGGGTAGAACATTCCAACCCTGTGCAGAACAGTGGCCCAATGCATGCTACTGCATCTAATCTATGCCACTGACAAGAGATGGGTGTCTCCTTCCCAGACGAGTGTTACAAGGACCTCTGGAAAGAGCTTAGCCATTGAGAGTAACAATCTTCCCATTGATACCTGAGCATAGACGTCTTGGCAAAGAATGTTTTGATGGAAAGTTTTAATTTTTAAGTAGGTTGTTTAGTTCCGGATTTTTTTTTCCATGCAAAAAATGAATGTGGGGGTGGGGGAGCAATCAAAGTGTCCAACAGCTCAATAAATTATGCAAGGAAAAATGCTCCCTCCCCACATTCCCATTCATGGTTGTCCTTCTCAAGGGCAAACTCTCTCTCTCTATGGTTTGTCTATCTTTCCAATAATTTTCCATGTGTAAATGTATATATTGGTTTTTACTAATTTTACAGGCAGTAGCATGTAAAGGTGACAAGGCAGTTCAAGTCTCAAGTCCCAGCCTCTCTACTTAAATTAATTAACATGTGCAAAATACACAAAATAGGTCCTGGCCCATAAGCCATCCAGAAGTGTTAGCTTTTATCATTTCTTATTTTCTTTTTTTTATACACAAGTGGAAGTATATTGTGCATCTTTTATGGAACTTGCTTTTTAATTATTAATATATTAACTTTTGAAAGCTTGCTATGTTCTAAAACTTCCATTTGCATTATTTAATTGAATCCTCACAACCACCTTTGGGCTAGCTGTGGTGAGCATCTCTGTTTCACAGACTAGGAATCAGACTAGGCAGACAGAGGTTATTGGAATGTCCTCCAAGACATGGAGCTTGTATTTGAACCCCAGCAATCTCATCTCAGGGCCTTTATTTTCACCTCCTTTAAAGGCTCTACTGCCTTTCCAATAATTATGGGGGCGGGGGGTCTTTGTTTATTTTGGATGGTTTTTGTATGCTGTTTATAACAACACTTTGTTATTCTCATTTAGACCAGAGTTGATAAAAATTTAAGAACGGAACATTATGAAGAACAGTTTAAAGCATTCCAATCAGTCGTTCGAGAGTCAACATCAAACTTTAATGCAGATATATCTCTAAAATACACACCAACTGAAAAACTTGGGAAGCGTAAAAGTCTTCCTGAGGGAGGGCCATCGCAAAGCGGACGTGGCAATCCTTCTACAGGAGAAGACTCCCTAGTGCCTGATGCTTCCCAAGGAAGTGCTGGTGGCTCGTTCCAATTTAGGTATTCCAAAAATGAAACTTACCAACAGTTTTTGTCATATTCTTCTAAGAAGGTAAGACTGAACACTTCATATAGAGAATGTAATGGGATATTTTTCAAACTAACCAAACCCCCTCTTTTAAGTTTATATGTTTAGAGCCTATAAGAGAGAGAAAGAATTAATACTCAACAAATCCTCCAGTAAGTTACCAAAATGTCAGGAAGAAGAATGGTAACTGGAGAAAAATGCCATATAGGATCTTTAGTAATAGTAAGAGATGTTTGCTGGTAGTAGACAGAGAACAAATGTATTAAGAACTCAGAGCATACTTTTTGACTGAGATTATAACAATAGACTGCTCAATTTATACTAGTACTATCTTCAGGCTCCTGTAACAACATACCAGAGACAGAGTAACTTAGAAACAAATTACTGCATACTTTGGTAATTCATTGCAATGCCTAGGATATTGACCATGTACTTACTATAAAGTGTGTCTCTAAAGTTATAAATGCCATAAAATTGTACACATTGCATATGAAATTAGTCTGTTTACTTTGTAATCATACCTTTAATTTTAGATTTTGAAAATGTGTTTGTCTTTAATATTTAAGCCAGGTTTCAAAGTTTGTGTCATTATCCAGGTGACAGGCTGGAGTGCGATGGCTTGGCTGGCCTGGGCCTCCCTCTTTCTTTGCTGGGGGGCGAGGCCAGCCCTGTGAGGGGCAGTATGCCTACCTGATCACCCCTAACTGCTCGCCTGCCTACTTGATCACCCCTAACTGCTTGCTGGGGGGTGGGGTAATATACTTTCTATAATCAGTATGATACTTATAAAATGTTCATTCTTCCTTTATGGATATCATAATCATCTATTTAGATACCCTTCTCCCACTTTTAGTACTTATGCCTAATGATATAATCCTAAATAATAAAAGGCCAGAGGTGTCACGACCTGAACGACCAAAGACCAGACCACCACAGCCCCTTGCAGGGCTGGCCCTGCCCCCAAGCAAGCGGTTAGGGGCAATCAGGCAGGCAGGCAGAGTGGTTAGGGGTGATCAGGTAGGCAGACCAGCAGTTAGGAGTGATCAGGTAGGCAGGCAAGTGGTTAGGGGTGATCAGGTAGGCAGACGGCCCCTCGCAGGGCTGGCCCCGCCCCCAAGCAAAGAAAGAGGGAGGCCCAGACCAGCCAAGCCATTGCACTCCAGCCTATCGCCTGTAGAGGGAGGCCACCAGTGGCAGGGGAGGGCGGGCAGTGCTGCACAAATGGCAAGCAGTGGCAGTGGCAGGGGTGGGGCCAGCAGCCTGCAGCCGGGGAAGGAAAGCCCCGATAGGCCCTGATCTCAGGCCAGGCCTAGGGACCCTACCCGAGGGGTCCCAGATTGTGAGAGGGTGCAGGCCAGGCTGAGGGACCCCCCAAGTGCAGAATTTTCATGCACCGGGCCTCTAGTAGTTTTATATGGTTCTGTATATTGCCTATATATTCACAAGAATACCCACCTAAAATGTGAAGTTGGAAAACCCTTTAAATCATTCAACAAATATCTATTTGTACATTTACTATGTGGCCAAGAACTGCTCCAGGTGCTTAAAATCCATTTGTGAACCAAACTAACAAAGAGTCCTAGTCCTGACCTCGTGGACGGGACAAAAATCAGCAGGGTAAGATAGACAAAAAGAATAAACATGAGAGCAAAAAAAAAGGAAGCTATATAGTATTTAGAAAATGATAAGTGCTACATAATAAAAGGAAAAATAGAGTCACATAATGGAAATCAGTAGTGTGAGACAGATGACAGTATTAAAAAGGAAGCTTCATTGAGGAGATAAGATCTGAGCAAAAATTTGAAGAGAGGATATAACCAAATAGTTATATTTGGGATGACATATCTGGCAGAAGGAAGTTTTAGAGACAAATCTCTAAGATGGGAACATGCCTCCCCATTGGGCCAAAGTGAGCCAGAGGAGGAAAGGCTGGAGAGGTTGCCTGGGACCATACCATGAAGGATCTCAGCCTAATCTAGGAGTGGTTTTTTTCCTCTGAGGGACATAAGAGGTCATTTGAATATTTTTCATGGAAGACTGATAAACCTTAATATGTTTTAAATGATTGCTCTTGGTACTCTATTAAGAAGAGATTATGAGTGTTAAGGGCAGAAGCAAGGTTTGTTAAAAAGCTATTGCAGGAATCCAGGTGAGAGATGATGGCAGTTCAAACAGGACAGTTGTAGAGTCAAACATGACCAAGGTTTGGGGCCTGAGTGACTGGAAGGATGGAGTTGCTATCAAATGGGATGGAGGTAGAGCAAGTTTGGAGGAAAACACTGGTGGTTACGTTTTAGTTAGGTTAGAGATGAGATGTCTGTTAGACATCTAATTGGAGATGTCACGTAAGAAGTTAATGCCCTAGAACCTTGCTACTAAAAGTGTGGTCCATGGACCAGCAGCTTCTAAATCACTGGGAAACTAGAATTTCAGACTCTAACCCAGACCTACTGAATCAGAATTGCACTTTAACAAGATTCTCTAGGTGACTTGTTCGTACCTTACAGTTTGAGAACTTCCCTAGAAGTAAGAAAAGAAACACTATCAAGGAGAAAAGAGTGATAAACTATGTCGAATATACTAATATGTCAAAGAAGATGAGGACCAGTGGCTTGAGCATTTTGAAGGTCATTGGTAACCTCAAAAAGGGAAGTTTTGTTGGGGTTGTAAGGGCAGCAACATGACTAGATTAGATTTCAGAGAAACTGGGAAGAGAAAAATTGGAAACAGCCAGGATAGAAAACTCTTTAAGGGAATTTTGTTTCTAATGAAAACAAAGATTTAGGTAGCAATGTTTGGACAAGTGAAGTCAAGAGTTTGTTTTTAAATTCCTGTAAGATAGAAGACACAACAGTGTGTTTGAATAGGAATGGCCTAAGGCTTACTTCTAAAATAATTTGAGCCAAAGGACATAACATCTTTCTGATAAGATATACTTCCTAATTTTAGCAACAATGCAAAGGAACCCAAATATGTTTTGTGCATCTTTGAGAGTCCACTGAAATTTATTATGCAAGTTATCAGATGGAGAACTCATATGACTTACTATAGATATAGTAAAGTCTTTTAGGATTTTTGTTAGAGATTGAGTCAGCCACTATCACCTGCAGTTAGGCCATGCAGTGTGAACAATCATGCTTCTAGAACACAGAAAGTTTGGTGTGATGTTTGTATATACTGTTTTTAATTCCCATGAAATCAACATGTGCCAACCACAGTTACAGAAGGAGAATCTCAAAACAATCATCTGAAAAATCATGGGTGCCAATTGTAATTTAGTTTTGGCTGGCACGGTCTGCTAGCATTGAATCACATACTTCCTCACTGCCCTAGTGTCCTCCTAGACATTCAAGCCATCATTCCAAGGAACATTTAACTGTTGAGCTGTGTTCATCTGGCTTGAGATCCTTGTCTTACAATCGTGTCTATTCCATCTGTATTTTCAAAGCTCAAGAGGACATAGTGGAAAGAAGAGGGAGACCTGAGACGTAGGTTTTTAATACCAATCATTAGCATGGACTATTTGTGTCATTTGGGGCAAATAACTTGATACCTTTGGATCACAGTTTCTTCATCTGTAAAATAAAAAGATTGGGTTTCATATATACTATCTACATTTCCTTCCATTGTTAACATTTTTAAATCAACTTAATGAGTATAATTTGCACACAATCAAATGCAAAGATTTTAAGCAGATAGTTCCATGAGCTTTGACTATTGTATCCACATATGCAACCACCTCCTCAAACAAAATATAGCACATTTCCAGGACCTCAAGAAAATTCCCTCATGCCCTTTGTGGTCAATTTCTTACCACCTGAGAGGTGACCAATGACCAAATTTCTCTGAACATAGCTTAATTTCACCTGTTCCAGAACTTCATATAAACGGAACAATACAGTATGTATTCTTTGTGTCTGACTTAATTCACTCAGTGTAATATTTTTTTACAGTGTAATATGTTGTTACATGTATCCGTAGTTCATTTTTTTTTTTGCTAACTAGTTTTCCTTCATGTGAACATACTACAATTTGTTTACAATTCCCCTGTTTATGGACATTTTAATCATTTCCAATTTTAAGCTGTTCTAAAAGTCTTATACAGGTCTTTTTGTGGACAACTTTTTCATTGATCTTAGATAAATATGTAAAAGTGGGATTACTAGCCATAGGGTTGCTGTGTGTTTACTTTTATAAGAAACTATCGAACAGTTCTTCAAAGTGGTTACACCATTTTCCACTCCCACCACCAATGTATGAAAGGGTGCTAGCTGCTGCACATCTTCACCTACACTTGGCATTAATCGTATTTTAAGGTTGCCATTCTACTGGGTTAAAGTGATATCTTACAGTCACTCCTAAAAAAAAAAATGTATTGCCTGTGGAAGTTTCAAATTTTGTGACTTTTAAATTTGAAATAATGGTGTTAAAACTCACATTTATTGTCTTCTGCTCCACAACAAAGGAAAAAATGTTTCTGCATGTGAAAGGAGAAGTTGCCCTGGGAAGATTTGTGATGAGAAATCGGGACATCATGCTGACATCAACTTTCTTGGATGATTTAAAATATCTGCCACCTACCTATGAAAAGGGGGAATATTTTGCATTTTTGGAAACCTATGGAACTCACTACAGTAGTTCTGGGTCTCTGGGAGGATTATATGAACTGATATATGTTTTGGATAAAGCTTCCATGGAAAAACACGGTATGCCTAGAAGTAGAGCTCTAACTTCTAGTAATGTTTTCTTCCTGTTGCTGGCCTCTGTCAGTGGTTATAGGCTTTAGAATAATGTAACCTGCTTCCTTGAGAGGACACTCTCCCTGCCCTTTGACACTTAAAGCCCTGCCACACAGCAAACTGGCTTCAGACAAGATGCCTTGATCATGCACTAGTCAGCAGCTGAAATCGTATTACAATGTAATGTTATTGGTAATCCTGCTTTAAGTGAAGAACTATTTAAAAGGTGAAAGAAAGTGTGAGAGACATAATTTACACAACCTATTTCTTATTCAGTAGGCTGGTTCATTATGTGTATCATAATTATCGTCAAAGTATTCTTCAGCATTGTAAGGGAAATATTGATCTAAATTTTCTCTTCGGGAAAAGGGAAGAAGCAATGTTAACATCACATAAGTCTAACATCTTAAAGCAAGGGTGGAAAATTAGTTCTACGTTGTATGATGACAGTTCTAATCATTTGGTGGTAGTTGAATTGGGTCCATGTTGAGTAGGTTTCTGATCACACTTAAAATCATAGAAAGAAGGCCATGATTGACCATCAGTGTTTGCCATATGTACAGGATAGGCCTCTGTGCTACATAATTGCCATCCTGGCCTAAAGGCTTTTATCTAAATCTTTTAAGAATGAAATAGAGGCAAAGGGACTATGTTAATAAGTTTTAATAATTAATTTTATAACTATGGCAAGTTATAATATTTCTTAAAGAAGTGATAGATGCCAGCATATTTCCTCCCTCTGCTCTAAAAATTGGGGGGAGTGTCTCTGAGGAAGGGAAGTGTTGCCAAAAATCACTTCCGTGGCTCCTTCCCCGTAGTCTGTGGCAGTGTCAGGTGAAGAATGGGATGCACCTATGATAGTAAAGCCTGGCTATCTGTGATAGTGTCCACACCATTGGTAAACACTCTGTGAGTGAAATAAACATGATCCAGCCAGAACCAGTTGCTCCTAGTGCCTCAGTCTAGTTTGGGCAGGTAGAAGAAGCCTACCTGGGGGAGTGGAACAGGAGATGGCTTTGCTGATACTGCTAAGCTATTCTGATAGATATCACTGGGGGATGGGCACAAGAGGACTGCGTTTTGAGTAAATGGAAAATCAGAAGAGAAAGGCTCAGCAGCAGTGATCAAAACACAAGGAACCCTTCAGGCTCAGAGTTCTTGGGTGAAAAAGCTCCAAGGACTGAAATTTAATCTTAGAACTATAACCACCCTAGAATGACCTAGATCCTTTTCAAATGAGGGGTGAATGTATATGCCCTTTGCCATTAAGTTGATAAGCAAAGTCAAAAGGAGGCCACTAGATTCACATACAAGGATGAAGCAGGACAGATAAGGCCTTGTGTTTGCATTCAGTAATAGTGTCTAGGAATCCAAGTATGTTTCTTAAAAAAGAGCAAAATTGGAATTTATGTATGATCTTGATAGATACTATCTAATAATTTTCAACTAAATACATTAAACAGGTGTTGAACTAAGGGATGTCAAGAAATGCCTCGGGTTTCATGTGGACTTATCTGTGGATTTTGGAGTTGAAATCAAAGGAAATCTTAATAAAGATGATTGTGTAAAGGGGGGTGAAGGTAAAGCTGGTAAGTATGGTCTAACTTATTAGGTCAAAAAATGGGGGGGGGGGGCAGTTCATGTCAATGAGCACTGCCCGGTCACTAGGAGCCCTCTTATTATCTAGCCTTCTTATACAAAAATACACACACACACCACCACCACCACCACCACCACACCTAGAAGTGCTTAAAAACTATTTTATCTTTACAGTGTTTTCAAAACTGTTATAAACACAAGCAACCCACGGAGGTGTACTCATCAGTGTCACCATTGTGCAGGTTGTGCAGTGCGCAGCTCTAGGGGGCGCCATTCACACCCTAGTCATTACAGATTTGTACGTTTATGATGGCAATGGCAGAAGAATATCTTGAGAAAAAAATTTCTTTTATTCCCCTACTTTTCAGAAAGTTTCTGAATGGACTATTGATAGTACTATATGTATCCATTAAAAATGGAAAAGACCAAACTCTCTCTAACTCAACCTTCCACCCGATTTGAAATTTCTAATTCACCTTCACTCAATTGGTCAGGGGGTAGAAACTTCCAGTTACAAGATAGTATTCAGGGTGGAGGGGTGGGGGAGAAAGGGTAATGTACAACACAGTGACTATATGCAGTTAACAATGCTGTATGGTATAATTGAAAAGTTACAAAGAGAGTAGATCCTAAAAGTTCTCATCATAAGAAAAAAAAATGTTTTTATAACTATATGACATGATATGAGTTAAATTTATTATGATAATTTATGACAATTATATCGCAAAGCTGAGAAAAGAAATCCCTAATCCATCCTTAATATAAATCATTGCATAACCCTTTTAAAAATATAAATATCTTTAGTATAAATACGACTTCTATTGTTCATCTTTAGCGGATTTTCAAGCATGAGGCAGTGCTGGAATTCTCAATTTTTACTCTAATCAGAAATACAAAGCTTGAGACTCATCTTTAATGATGGTAGAGAAGTAGAAAAGAGGAAAACCTGATATTTATTAAAGCATAGCAACCACTAACTTGTGGCCATGATTGGAAGCCACTGATGAACTGAAAAGAAAGCTGAACTTGCCATCAAATGTCACCATTTCCATATTTGGCCCTTAAGCTAACTGCGTAATTTGGGACAAATCACTCCAACTCCCTGAGTCTCCATTTTCTCATCCATAAAAATGTGGAAGGATAAAAATCATCTTAAATTTTTTTTCTGGTTTAAAAAATCCACAAATCTAAAAGATTTACAAAAGTTTGTTAAAAGAGGTTTAGCCTGGTGAGAGAGACTGAAGTGGGTAGGAATTGGGGATAGAAAGAAATTTTGCTTTTCACTTTATTCTTTTTTGAACCCTTTGAATTTTTTTATAATATTAAAATTGTTCAAAGCAAACCAATATGACATATGATTATGAAAGTAAGTCTGCAACAAAAAATTATAGTACATTTAAAGTTGTGTTTAGTTCCCACTTGTGCATATGCATAAGTGATAACCTTTGAATACCAACATATCTCAATCATGCTATCATTTTTTTAAAAAAGGTGATTGACATCTACAAGTAGCTACTAATACAAATTGCCCTTGGGTATTTGGTGTGGAAAAGTTAGTAGTATTTATAGGTAAAATTCAATAAATGTATTAGCCTATATGAAAGGGGTTCAATAAATGTTTATCAATTATCACAGAGTTAAAAATGCTTGACTTACATCCTCTGTCTATTCTCAGTAAACATCACCAAGGATGGCATCATAGATGATGTGATTTCATTCATAAATGGAGGAACCAAACAATATGCAGCTCAACTGAAAGAGAAGCTTCTCAGAGGAGTCAAAGCGGTTGATGTGATGGACTTTGTGAATTGGGCGTCTTCCTTAAGTGATGCTCCAGTGCTCACCAAGGAAAAGGTGAGGAATGTGTCTTTTCAGATAGAGGATTTTGTCATCCTCCTATTGAAGGTCACTGCTGGTTCAGATGACCAGTTAGTTTCATCTGAAAGAGATGTGACCATTCAAATGCACTCCCATCTCATCCCCGGGAAGAAGCATGGCATGGAAGAAAGGCACAAAGGGTGGCATCGGACCAACCCAGGCTGAGTTTGGGTCTCTGTCCCTCACGAGATGTATACTCTTTTCTGACTTCTGCAATACGAAATTCTCCAGGGCTCCAGGTTTATTTTAAGGATTTAATAAGACTGCAGGTCAAGTGCCTATAGCATAGACTGACACAAAATAGGTTTGGCTCAGTGGATAGAGCCTCGGCCTGCGAACCACAGGGTCTGGGTTCAATTCTGATCAAGGGCATGTACCTAGATTGCAGGCTCCTCCCTAGTCGGGGCCCAGGTCAGGGCTCATGCAGGAGGCAACCAATCGAAGTAGTATCCTTCTCTTGATGTTTCTCTCTGTCTTTCCCTCTCTCTTCCACACTCTCTAAAAATCAATGGAAAAATATCCTCAAGTGAGGATAAAAAAAAGAAAGAAAGAAATGTCATATCCTATGAAAGAGACATCTTGAAAATGCCTTAAAAAGTTGTCATTTTTTCGTGGTGAAGGGACCAGAGTTCGTGTTGATGAAAACACCTTGGTGGCTGTAGTGGCCGGCAAGGGCAGCAGCAGCGGGGTGATGGGGCTGGTGCCTTCTCCTGATCAGCCGGTTGCCTCCTGCAGAGGGAGGCCAGACTGCAGCTTAGGCTGTCAGTAGGACATCCCCTGAGGGCTCCCAGACTATGAGAGGGGGAAGCTGGGCTGAGGCACCTCCCCTCCACGCCCCCCCCCTCAAGTGCACGAATTTTGTGCACCTGGCCTCTGGTAATAATATAATACTTAATGTTACAATAACCTAAGTACTTAATATTAAACTATATTGTCATTTTTTTGCATTTTAGTAAATTTTATGATAGATTACATCCACTAAAAATACATTTATCTACAAATGACAGAAAGGTAGAGTTAGCTAGGATAGGAGAAAAATTATAACTGTTTCCTTACTTAACAGAAGGCCAAAGTTCATCAGAAAAAGGTGTGGCTCTTCAGGAAAACTTCAAAAAGTACATTTCAATTGTTTTTTGTCTTCTTGTGGGATTTTTGACTCTAGGGTTTGAGGTTCCTCTGAAACTGCTGTCATTACATGTCCTTCATCTTTATCTCTTTGAACACTGTGTGTGCATTTCATCCAAATTGTATTTTCTCCATGACCCTCTCTTCCTGTACTTTAGATTATCTGGCCTCAACTTTCCTTTGAAGGGTAAAACAAGGTGAATTCATTTCTTAAGAATCAAAATAACTCCACCACATGCTTAGGCTGTTTGTGCCAATGTAGCCACGCTGGGAAGTGGTTTCTTTCTTCCAAATAAATATGATATAGTTGAAATCCATATCCTACACACTAATAGTGAATGGTGTGCTGGCGGACAGTCGTGTTGACTTTGTAGAAGCTCTTGGTATGTTCTGGATATGAGACTATTCACTTAAAGGTGTTATAAATGTTTTCTCTCACTTGAGGACTTTCACTCTTTAATGGTATTTTCAATAATCATTTCCTGTTTTTGACTTTTTATTTTGGATTTTAGACTTACTATAAATGCGCACAAATAATACAGACAGTAAAATTGCAAAGATAGCACAGACTTCACATAGACCCCTAGACCCAGAAGCCCCTGATATTAACAATTTACATAACCATAGTACCTTTATCAAAATCAGAAAAGTCGCATTGACTATATCATAGGCCTTATTTAAATTTCACTAGTTTTCCCCTAATGTCCTTTTTTCTGGTCAAGGTTCCAATCAGGTTCCCATGTTGCATTTAGTGGTCATGTCCCCGTAGTCTCTTCCAATCTGTGACAATTCCTCGGATTTTTCTTGTCTTTCACGACCTTGACACTTGTGATGAGTATTGGTCACTTGTGTCAAATGTCTCTCAATTTAGGCTTAGAGTAGATTGAGATTGTGCATTTTGGGCAAGAATACCACAAAAGTGATATTATGGGGTATTGGTGCGGGGGATTAACCGAGGAACTTATATGCATATATGCATAGCCCATGGACACAGACGATAGTGTGGTGAAGGCCTGGGGGAGTGCAGGATGGAGGGAGTCACTGGGGGTAAAAGAAGGAGATCATCTCTAATACTTTCAACAATAAAGATAATTTTTTTAAATGTGATATTGTGTCCTTAGTGCATCGTGTCAGGAATTATGATTTTCTTTTATTTTGATGTAGTTAAATGCATATTTCTTTTCATTACAGGTAGTGCTTTTGTGTCCTAATTAAAGTTGTTCTCTACCTCAAGGTCTTAAAGATGGTCTCCCATATATTACCTTCCAGAAGCTTTATTGTTTTGTTTTAACATTTCCATCTATAACAAATCCAGAGTTGTTCTTTGTGTGTGGTATAAGTTAGAAAGTTACTTTTTAAAAAAAATTTCCTATGAATATCTTCTTGTCCTAGAACAATGTATATTGACACCCATCATTATAGCACATATCAAAGTTTTCATTTAAATTTACCTGGATGATTATTTTAATATCAGTCCCCTTACTTCCATAATGTCATCTCCATGACCAGAGAGATCATGTCTCATTTTGGTCACTAATATAGTCCTAAAGGCTAACATCATTTCTGGCAATAATAATCCTTAAAAAAGTCCTTTTTTGTTAATTAATTAATTAACTTCAGTGAAGAATGTTACAAGCTCCATCAGAAGAAAAATACCTAAAATTAAATGTTCTGCTTCCTTGCAGCTATCTCCTATACATAACCTGATTCCACTGAAAATGAAAGATGCACACCTAAAGAAAGAAAATCTGGAAAGGGCCATTGATGATTATGTCAATGAATACAGCATACGAAAATGCCACCCATGCCAGAATGGGGGCACTGTGATTCTGCTGGATGGAAAATGTGTGTGTTCTTGCCCAATCACAGCCGAGGGAATTGCCTGTGAAATTAATAAAAAAATAATTCCTCCAGGTGAGAACAAGCTATTTGATATCATTAGGAATACGAATATGTATTTGAGGGCTATTTAACTTAAAAATTCTGTCTCTCACCTATCTTAAGTGACAACCTGACATTTTGTATTCCAGAAAGCATTTGTATTCTCCCAAATTCCATGCTATTGGTACGAAGGACCTCTATTTTCTACCTACTTATCTCTTCCATCACTAGTCACACTGACTCTTCCTACAGAAACTGAACATCCCCTCTAGGATGGAAATGTGTCTTGTATCTTCAACTTCATTCTGTTCCCAGCACCTACACAGAATCTGGCACATCATGGTATAATGGGTTGAGGGGATGACTACATAGATGGGTGAGTGGACCCAAAGTTGAAGTCCTAATAATCAAGATTTGATATTCCTTTGTTTTCTCTAGAATTGAAAATGGAAAAGAAATAAAGTTGTCAGCTTCCTTGGGATCACATGGAAGGGAAAACACCAGGAACACTAGAACTTTCCATGTATGATGCTGCCCATGGAGTTAGTCCTTGATGCGAAATGAAAAGCAACATGCTTCATGAAAATTCTACCAACCTCCCAAGTCGTCTCTCTTGGGTCCATGATGCTTCTTTTCCTCCTTAAACTCCCAGGATGTTTCTTTTTTTTTTCTTTTTTCTTTTCCCCCTAATGAGGAGAGTCAGCAGTGAAATAGGCCAGGACTGCTTTCTCCTACATACAATACCTATCTCTCCCTAACAAATAAAAATTAAATTAAAAAGAGAATGTTGGCTAGAAAGACTAAAGTAATTGCCAAAGTGCTTCGTATGACTAATATATTCTGCCCCTTCCACTACCACAAGTCTGTACCATGCAGTTTCATTCCTATTGGTATTTTTTGGTTATTTATTGATATGTTCGTGCATTCATTAATTCAGCAAATCCTTACTGAGCACCTAGCACAGGTCAGTCTTAGCTCTCCAGTTTAACTCTACATGTCCACAGGAAAAAGCCTATTGTATTTGTAACAAAAAACTACTAGATTCAATTGTGTGAAATTGCCTCTATTGGATCATATTTTACCGTAAAAAAGAGAGAGTTAGAGAAAATGAAAACAGCAATTCATGTGTTCCAACTTAATAGCTACCTTTATGAGTTGTATAAGGTAAGGCTAGGCATAAGAAACTGATTAAGGGAGCTGGCTGTACCATTTTATCCATTAGCTAGCATGGTAGTTAAGGCCTGAGATCTTTGAAAATATCTGAAAACTCAAGAAAGCGAGAGAGAGAGAGAGAGAGAGAGAGAGAGAGAGAGAGAGAGAGAGAGAAAGGAAGAAAGGAAGAAAGGAAGAAAGGAAGGAAGGAAGGAAGGAAGGAAGGAAGGAAGGAAGGGAAGAAGGCTCAAAGTACAAATAGAAAAAAAAAATCAAAGTTAATAAATATTTAATTAAACATCAATAACATGTATCATATCAACTTCATTAATTATCATTCTTATTAATCAACATTTCATGCATTTATAAATACATTTAAGTTAGGGAAGGGTGGAAGTAGATTGTCCAAGGCTGCAGTCCTGGTGCAGGAAGAGGAAGATATTCAGGGCTACAATTTGAATGAGAAGCAGAAGACGAACAAGGCCAGGTATCCTCCAGTCAATGGGAAGTACGAGTATTTGGATCATACAGCGCATGTCCAGTTCCTTGCATGGGGAGATACTCTGGAGGAAGCTTTTGAGCAAAGTGCAATGGCCATGTTTGGCTACATGACAGATACTGACACGGTGGAGCCCCTCCAAGCAATAGAAGTAGAAACACAGGGAGGAGATTTACAGTCTCTTCTGTTTCACTTTTTGGATGAGTGGCTTTATAAGTTCAGTGCTGATGAATTCTTCATACCCCGAGAAGTGAAAGTACTTAGTCTTGATCAAGTAAATTTCAAATTACGGTCAATTGGGTGGAGAGAAGAATTCTCATTGTCCAAGCATCTTCAGGGAACTGAAGTCAAGGCAATAATATATTCAAACATGCAGGTCCATACTGAAGAGAAACCAGACTTGTGATCATTGACATTTAAGATAAAGAAAAAACTCCTATGAAGAACTGTTTTTTTTCTCTTCCTTTTGAGAAGATATCATAATATAAATTCTACAGTCTCTGATGATATGATGGTTTACAGAACAGAAATTTTTTCTTTTTCTTTTTAAAAAAAATATATTTTATTGATTTTTTACAGAGAGGAAGGGAGAGGGATAGAGAGTCAGAAACATCGGATGAGAGAGAAACATCAATCAACTGCCTCCTGCACACCCCCCACCGGGGATGTGCCCACAACCAAGGTACATGCCCCTGACCGGAATCGAACCCGGGACCCCTCAGTCCGCAGGCCGACGCTCTATCCACTGGGCCAAACCGGCCAGGGCCAGAACAGAAATTTTTGACTTAAAGTATGACTTTCCCACAAATGGAAAATCAAGGCATAACCTTGGTCTGTACTAACCAGATATTCAAATGTTAAAGAATTCTTCAGGTGGCAAAAAAAAAAATTAAGTTAGTTTTTCTCACTTTATGGAAATTCTCAAGAATACACATGATTGCTGAGAAGTCACAGTAAATAAACTACTTATTGGCAAATAAAAAGCAAAATTTTAAAAATATTCAAGTTTTTTAACAACAAAGATATGGAATGCATTTTATTTTTTTAATTCATTATTTTATTTTGTATTGAATTTATTGGGGTGACACCGCTTAACAAAATTATGCAGGTTTCAGGTGCATAACTCTACAGCACATTATCTGTACACTGTTTTGTGTGGCTGCCTGTTAGGCTCAGTCACGGAAAGAGCCCCTGGCTATCCTCCTCAGTCAGGCATAAGCTCCACAGGGTGGGGCCAGAGGGAGGACAGAGGGTGGAGCTATTGCTCTCCCCCCCCACCCCCGGCTGAGGCCGCACCAAGAAGGAGGGCATCTGCCCTGTGGTAGAACGACAGCACAGGGATCCTGTCCCTTCGGCTACCTTTCCAGAGCCACAAACCCCAGACTCTCCTCATGTGGCTCTAGTCCACTTCGCCCTCCCTCTTCCAGAGCCCAGGGTGAGTGGATGCGATTGAAATTTTGTATGTTGGCCCTTTAAGAGGGTGCCTGTGTCTCCAGTGGACTCTTGCCTCTCCCTGGCAAACAGAAATCCCACTACTGTTCACACCCAGAGGTTATGTGGGTGCCTCTTCCCAGCTCTGGTGCTCAGGGCTGGGGAGCCAGCTTGGGATTTAGACCCCACACTTCTCAGGGGAAATCCCCTGAAGCTGAGATATCCATCCAGAACCTCTGCTGCCACCTTTAGGAGCGAGACCAGCCTTTTTCGAAACTCCACCCTTCCTACCAGTTTGTTTTTTGTTGTAGTTGTTGTTGGTGTGTGTGTGTGTGTGTGTGTGTGTGTGTGTGTGTGTGTGTGTGTGTTTTAAATATATTCTATTGATTTCAGAGAGGAAGGGGGAGGGAGAGAGAGAGAGGTAGAAACATCAGTAATGAAAGAGAATCATTGATCAGCTGCCTCCTGCATGTCCCTAACTGGGGATTGAGCCCGCAACCTGGGCATGTGCTCTGACCAGGAATCGAACCCTGGCCTCCTGCTTCATAGGTTGATGCTCAACAACTGAGCCACACTGACTGGACCCTACCAGTCTTGATGTGACTTCTTCTATTAATCTATTAATCTTAATGTGACTTCTCTTCAGTTAGTCTTCAGTTAATTATTCAGGATGATTAATCCATCATTTATTTGTAATTCAAGTCAATCCTGGAAGAAGTGAGCATACCTTTCATCTACACACCTTTATCTTGGATCTCTTATGGGGTGCATTTTAGTACATTAGGTCTGGTATAGAAATGGTACTCTAAAAATAAAGGCACTCTGCCCTTTAGGGTATAAAATAGCCCTGGAAGCTCAAGAGAATTCCCTGCCCTCAGAAACCTAAGTGAATCAGGGAGAATGAGGGTGCTGAATGAATACAAACACCGAATCTGGTCTTAGACAAGTCATGTGGAGAGAGTTTTTGATGTAGGGTGTCTGGATCAAGGGTTGTTGTCAAGTAACTACTGAGAATCCCTTGAACCTTTGTCAGTTGTCAAACAACAAAAGAGCTGAGCCTCAACTGGACTCCCAAGGATCTGCTTAATGATTTATGTGAGTTCCTTCTACTGAAAAGAGGACAAACAGTGTAGATTCACTATTGGCAGCAAGATCCTTCAACCTCCCTCAAAGCTGGCATCCCTGGTGATCATTTCCAGCAGGGTGCACCATTGAGACACCAAAAACTACCCAACAGGAAGCAGTTGAAAGAGTGTCTGGCCCTAAACTGAGGAAGAGTCACCAGAAATTGGGGCAGATGACCTTCTGGCTGCTGAGCCTTACATGGTTCATCCCGGACTATGGTTGTGAGTAGCAGACTCCTGAGAAGGGAAGTCCAGGCCTCACGTGCTCTCCGCCAGGGCACATCACAAATTCAAGGCAAGGGACACGTGAGGAGGAGTCCTCTGAAGTTCTGGCCATATATTCAGAACATTACACTGAACCCCATCTATCAGCAAAAGAACCTGGAGAAGTTGGGCATCATGTTCCCTTGAGCTAATGGGAAAAGGACCTGTAGGGTATTGCTACATGTTTCCCTTTTGTACTTAACACTTAGATTGTGTATTTTTAAAAATATATATTTTATTGATTTCTTATAGAGAGGAAGGGAGAGAGACAGAGAGTCAGAAATATCGATGAGAGAGAAACATCGATCAGCTGCCTCCCGCACACCCCCCACTGGGGATGTGCCAGCAACCAAGGTACATGCCCTTGACCAGAATCAAACCCAGGACCCCTCAGTCCGCAGGCCGACACTCTATCCACTGAGCCAAACCAGTCAGGGCTAGATTGTGTATTTACTCTACTGATCACATGATAAGAAGAAAGCTGATAATTGTTTGAGGTATGGGTCTTCATCCTCACACTGGCTTTTCACTACTGTCTCTCTCAACACCCTTTGTTTGTGTGTGCAGTGGGACATTATACTGTATACAACAGCCCATAACAGCAGCTCCTGAGTTAGTTTCCCAATAGTTATTTATGAAAACAACATCAAATGTTGGATGAAACATCTCTCTCTCTCTCTCTCTCTCTCTCTCTCTCTCACACACACACACACACACACAAATATTTCTCATGAGAAATATCCATCTTTCTGCCCCTCCACCCTTCAACTCCTACCTCATGTTTATTACTCACCACCATGCTGACAGCTGTGAAATGGTTTAAGAGAAGAGAATGATAAACTATTTAACAATAGACAAGTTATTAAACCACCAAGCCCTAGAATTGTGTGTGTCATTAAGATAATGCACACAACCCTAGCTGGTTTGGCTCAGTGGATAGAGTGTCGGCCTGAGGACTGAAGGGTCCCAGGTTCAATTCTGGTCAAGGGTACAAGCCCAGGTTGTGGGCCCGATCCCCAGTAGGGGGCGTGCAGGAGACAGCCGATCAATGATTCTCATCATTGATGTTTCTATCTCTCTTTCCCTCTCCTTCCTCTCTGAAATCAATAAAAATATATTTTAAAAAAAAGATAATGCACAGAATCACCTTGTCACCTAACAGACAAGCAATGAATGGTAACTGTTACTATTGTTGTCATGCAAGGCTATTGGTAAAAATCCTCTCAAATGCGACTAACATTTGTGATATGAGACGGCCAAGGAGATTAAATCTGAAAATTGAAGAGAATGGCATATGGCACAGGGGTTTAGTACTCTCTGTAATAATTAGTGGGTTTAGTGATCTTTTTAAAATATACATAATATGGCTGGCCACTGTGTCTCAGTGGTTGAGTGTCGACCTATGAACCAGAAGGTCACGGTTCGAATCCTGGCAGGCCATATGCCCTGGTTGAAGGCTTGATCCCCAGTGTGGTGTGTGCTGGAGGCAGCCAACCAATGATTCTCTCTCATCATTGATGTTTCTGTCTCTCTCTCCCTCTTCCTTCCCCTCTGAAATCAATAAAAGTATATTTAAAAAATAATAACAAATAAAATATACATAATATAAAATTTACCGTTTTAACCATTTTTAAGTGTAGAGTTCAGTGGCATTAAGTACTTCCTCATTCTTGTGCAACCATCACCACCATTCATCTCCAGAATTTTTATTATCCCAACCTAAAACTCGATAACAAACAATAATTTGCCATTCCTTACTTCCCCAGCCCTGGTAACCACTATTCTACTTTCTGTCTCTATGAATTTGACTATTTGGCATACCTCATATAAGTGAAATCATGAAACATTTGTTCTCTAATTGAACTGAGTGTAATGTTGTCAAGCACATATCAGAATTTTATTACTTTTTTTCTTAATTGTTGACAGTTTTACAAATGTCTCCCATTCCTATGGGAGGGGGCCCTTTTACTCCTCTCTGCCCAGCCCCTCCCCACCTGCCCCCTCCCCGCCCCAGGTCTTCACCACCCTATAGTCCATCTCCATGGGCTATGCTTATAAGTTTACAAGTTCTTTGGTTTATCTCTCCTCGTCCCCTGACCCCCCACACTGATATATGTCAGTCTGTTCCATGCCTCCATGCTTCGGGTCTTATTTTGTTTGGCCAATTGTTTTGTTCATTAGATTCCACAAGTAAGTGAGATCATGTGATATTTGTCTTTCTCAGATTGGCTTATTTCACTTAGCATAATATTCTCCATGCTTCCCAAAGGGTAGGAGATCTCTCTCTTTCACAGATGTATAGTATTCCCTTGTATAAATGTGCCACAACTTTTTTATCCACTCATCTACTAATAGGCACATGGGCTGTTTCCAAATCTTAGCTATTGTAAATTACACTGCCATGAACATAGGGGTGCATATATTCTTTCTGATGGGTGTTTTGGGGTTTTTAGGATATATTCCCAGAAGTGGGGTCAAATGGCAGTTTTATTTTAAAATTATTTTTGAGAAAACTCCTGTTTTCCATTTTGGCTACACCAATCTGCATTCCCACCAGCAGTGAACTAGGGTTCCCTTTTCCCCACAT